AACTATTCTGTCAAAAAATCTCCTAATGCCCTTATTAATAAGAGGAAGATCATACAACTTCTACAATGTTTTTGTAATAAATGTTAGCTGATGAGGATGTAGATATGAACTAGTGAATTGATGTAGATTTGAGTATCAACATCTATTGACATGCTCATTAAGAACGAGTCTATGTCATTCTTTCATCTGAATTTTGTTGATAGTTGTTTGATTAAACGAGTTGATTCTTTTGATAGATAATTTGCCATGTCAAATGTTGTTTACATTTCTCAATAAACTTCGTATTGTCTCTCTTATTGCTCTTTATTATCTATTATAAACCTAATCATATAAAACTACTAGCTTTTATCTCACGAGGGAACATTCCCAACTGTCACATCGCTTATGAGTCGAGCGTATGGACATTATGGAGGCCCTAATGACCTATGAATGTTCTGAAAAAGTTCATGCTGCTAGCTTCTTACTGCTGAGATACAGCATCTTTACTGTATGTTTAAGGAAAAAGCCGTGGCCCCCTCAGGAACATCAGGAGAAGTGACTTTTGAGTTTCCACCTGAAATTTTGCATGTAGACAGGCCTCAATGAGAATAGTTTATTGTGAAGGTTTCAGATTTTTTGGTTGCTTCTAGTCTGAGATAAGAACATCGGATCTGCTGGAGTATATGAACAATTTTACGATAGCTATATCTTAGGATAGGAACAGCAAAAAGAGCTGAAACTTTCACAATAAACTATTCTCAATGAGGCCTATATCTGTGCAAAGTTTCAAGACGAAATTCGAAATTCAGTTTTCCGATGTTCCTGAGGGGGACGACGGCTTTTTTTCTTAAACATACAGTAAAAACGCTGTATCTCGGCAATAATAAGCTAGCAGCACGAACTTTTTTCAGAGAAGTCATAGATCATGAGGGTCTACATAATGCCCATACGTTCAGCTTAAAAGCGATGTGACAGTTGAGAATGCTCCCTCGTCAGTATTATCTTCAGTAGCAATCAAGAAAATATGAAATTTATTGCTTCTTCTCATAGTGTTTGCATATTATATTTCAACAATGAAAGTCAAGAGTTTCGAAACTCGTATTAGAACTGTTCGACAATAGCTGCGATGAAACTATATCATCAAGATGAATACAATTTTGTGTCTTTTAAACTACATCAATACTACTGAAAATTGAATTTTATCTTTTCTTGCTGCATTTCAATGACCTCAACATGTACATAAACTCTTTTTCTTAGTTCTTCGTCAATCAAATGTTAGCTATATTTCTATTACACTAAATAGATTAATTTAGTTGAAACTTCTAAATAGAACTTTCATTATACAAGATGTAATCACATAGTATGACTTTTTTTAATTTATTTATTTTCGAAATAGAATTTCTCCAAATGCAAGTTGATTATGAAAGTAAATCCATGCTAGTCGTATGTTTATGTGAAATATGAAGAAAACAAAAGATATATTCTACTTTGCTAAGTATTCGTTTTTTGTATGCAGAAAATTTGACCTCTTTCACAATCAAAGTTTAAAACTGAACTAATTCAGTTTGATTCCAGCTCTAGTCACTGAAAAAAGTTTCACAAACTGAGCTAGATGAATAGATGAATATCTTCTAACGACTAATGGATAATTGGCTCTGAATGTGAGTCAAAGAAATTAAACTTTCGACAAATATCTTTCGATGTCATAAACCAAGTGAAACTAAAGAAATCAGATTTATTCATTGTTCATCGTGATCTATCAAAAAGGATTGTTCATCCGTTTTGATCTGTATATAAGATGTCGAAAACTCACTCTACTCAGTGACCAATGTAATTGATTCCTTTCTAAGATCATTTTCTGAAGATAATATAATTGTTAGTAATATGAAAAATAACATAAGTTCGTACTTTTTCAACTATCTAAGACGATCCAATAAAAAGTAATTGACGAATAAAAAACCGAAATAATGTAAGATATTTGAATTGCAAATGAAAAGTACCATTGTACTGCTATTCTTCAGGAATCTCTGTGGAATTGATCTTTGTTTAACATGATTATTCAGTTTTCAACGAAAAGATTCTTTATTTATACGGTCTTAGAAAATAGATCATAGGCATAACTCTCTATTTCATTGTAATTTATGCTCGAAAAGAATAGGAGTGATGACATCTGAGAGCGAAATAAAGCAATAATGGATGATTGACTGAAAATATTACAATGAATAACTTTGAATTCAACAAAGTACCATTTTAAACTAAAACAGTTGTTGCTGACAAAGTTGAGAGTTTGGCTGGAAAATATTTCTCCTTTTGTAACAAAATCCAATATCTATGAATAAAAAATTTCTCTCTTATTTTAATAATTTTTCTTGTCTCTATTTTAGACTATCCATTACGTTCTCCATCCAGCACCAACATTCATCCGAATGCTCGATGGCAACAAAATGGTATCACTGTGGCTGGAGGATATCGACAAGGCAATGGAATCAATCAACTCTCAAACCCATGGGGTTTGTATGTTGATGATGATCAAACAATCTATGTTGCTGAT